AAACGAATTAGATGGTTCTTGTATTAAATGAGAAGACTAATTGATTTAATTAATACGGTCGTTTATGATAAGGATATAAAAGGGCTACAAAGATTAACTTCAAGAGCATTTTGTAGGCAATATCATAACAAATGGTATTTTTGTACCAATTTCAATAGTTTAAAGATATTTAAGGCCCTTCTTCGAATTTTAAAAAGCACTTTTGAGCAAATTAGTGTTTGGCCAAATTTTTAAATAATTGCTTCTTTAAAGCATATTTCATAAAACTTTTAAAATTAACTTATTTTTAAGAAATATTTTTTCAAAAGTGTTTTTCAAAAAATCTATTATTTTTTACAAGGGAAAAAGACTTGGTATACCCCTCAAATTTGTGATTCTTATGAAAAAGTATAATCTAAAATAAATTATACTATGTACACATAAGATTTGTTGTTACAATTAATAGTTTTCAATATTCTTCATATTGTTGCTACAATAAATTATTCTTTGAACAATTATTATTAATTGTAGCAACAAATCTAAGTATAATCTAACATAAATTATACTTTGTACACCTAAAATTTGGTTCTACAATTAATAGTTTTCCATATTATTCATATGTATATATTTGTTGTTACAATTAATAGTTTTCCATATTCTTCATATATATTGACTTCAAAAGTAAATCTTTCTCAATTGGTAAGTTAATTAAAAAATTTCCATTAAGAAGATACTTACTATGAATTTTCTTTGTTACTATAATCTTTGAGGTTCTACCATTATAAAAGAAAGGTAGAGTGACTACTTTATTCACCACAAATTTATTCAATGGAAAATTTTGGTGCGATCTTTTCGCTATTCTATTTTTCTCATTATTTGCATTTATGGAATATTTTGTAAACAACGTTATGGACAACATGTAGTGGGATCAAGGTGTGATGATGAAGGCCTAGGACATTCTACTTGTATTTGCACCATCAATATATCTTGTCATCCTCTTACTTAGTTATTATTACAAAAAAATAGTCTGTTTTAAAAAAGAATAAAAGATTAATTAAAAAGTTATATTTTGATTTCAAATTTTCTTGTATTTGTAATTGCATCGCTCTCTCTTTCTATTTTTTTTTTGTTGAAATTTGGGATTAATGTCATGACCTAGTTCTGAAGCCAAGTAATTTGAATTGAGGAAAGTCATAAAAATCACAAGCAATAAGAAAAAATATTGATCTATATGACTATATCTATATACAATTTTTTTTTTAAATTTACAATATAAATAATTTTTAAAATATAGCCAAAATATAGAAGATATAAAGTTTTAAGCAATAAAATAAATTAATAAATAATTCGATACTATGATTAAATTACTTTGATACACCATGAAATCGTGGATCAATAGAGGAATTAGACACTAATTGTCAAAAGAGTGAAGGAACCACAAATATTTGAAGCACACTTCATAGGCTCATTTTTCTGCTCCTCCTCCTTAGTCAGTTAGTCAATTAGAGGTGTATTCAGAATTTTGGAAGAATGCACTATTATGAAAAATGTATCGTAATAATGATTAAGAGATTATTTTTTGAATAGAGTCAATTTAGATTTTACTACATTTGGTAGCAAGAGTTCACTCATTCTGTTTTGGTTCCAAGATCCATCAACAATAATGTCACTCATAAGTTATGTTTTTGTCATTACCTAAATCCCAAATAGTACATTCTTTACAAAATTTCCAACCTAAAATAATATTTTTCCAAGTACTGCTAGTGGTTTTTAGATGATTATCTATAGGGTTAAGATTTGTATTCCTGGTATATTTATTAATAATAAGGAGGGCAGCCCACAAAGTTGCGGGATTCTTATAAATTCTCCAGCCTCCAGGCTAGTTTTGAAAATAAGGCATCATTTTTTAACTTACACTTTTGGATTCCTAAACCTCCTCCCCCCATTAGGCCTAGTAATTGTATCCCAATTTAGGAGATGTAATTTCCTTTTAAAGTTGGTAGTATCCCATATAAATTTTCGTTGTAAGCGATCAATTTATTTGGAGATGTTATTAGGTAATTTTATATATTGCATAACATGAGACGGAATGTTATTAAGGGAAAATTTGACTAGTGTTGTGCGTCCTGCAATATTCAAGAATCTGGTTTTCCATCATGTAAGTTTTGCCTGCAGGTTATCCAAGATGAATTGGTAGTCCCTTTTCAAAGGTCTTTTATGGAAAATTGGAAAGCCAAGATATTTTCCCAAGGACTCGCTCGACTTTATATTCATATGATTTGATATTACGTCCTTAATATTTTGGGAGCAGTTATTAGAGAAAATAATTTTTGATTTAAGGTTATTGATATTTTGTATAGACCATTCACAAAAATTCTCAAAGGTGTCTTTGATTGGTTTACAATCATTCAGGGTTGCTTTAGACATTAGGACTAAGTCATCGGCAAAGAATAAGTGAAAAAGGAAGGGACCATACATCGAAATTTTATGGGATTCAAAAATTTTGCATCGATGACTTGATTAATATTATGAGATAAAACTTCTATACATAGAATAAAGATATACATCGACATGAGATCTCTTTGTTTAAGTTTTCTTGATGGTTTAAAAAACTCAGTTCTTGACCCATTTATAAGGATGGAGACATTACTTGTGCATATGCAAGACATTATAAAGTTTATAATATTAAGCGAAAATTTAAAGTAATGAAGAGTGAATTTTATAAAAGACCATTCGAATTTTTCGAAAACCTTTTCAAGGTCAATTTTCATAATGAGGTTACCAAGTTTCCCTTTCATTTTTTTTTGAAGTGGTTAATGATTTCTTGTACGGTGATAGCATTGTCAGTAACTTGTCTATTTTTCAAGAAGCTCGTCTGATAGGGACATATCAATTTTTCCATAAACTAGTGAGTATTTGCTAGATTTTATATGACTGGAATTAAATAAATTGCTTAATCATTCCCTAAGCTCCTCGCCTATTATTACTATCCAATTATTTCCACTATTTACATTTAATAATTATGTTTCAATTTTTTTGTCTTGCTTTTATTTTTAGTATGTTATATATTTAAATTATGAAAAATATTACTTTATAAATTACAATAAATAACAAATTAAAATATTTTAAGAGCATATTAAAAAAATTATTTACTAATTTTTTTTTACATGTGCCACATAAATTGATACAATATGAAATAACATGTTATTTTAAATTACATAAAAAAAAATACAACAAATTACAATAATTAACAACTTAAACTATTTAAAAATGGGAAGATAGCCACATAAATTAAGACAAATGGAGCAACAAATATTGGGTTGCTTAGGATCAGTCAGAGAATTCTCCGATTTGTCCTTCTACTTCAATTTCTTTTATTTATATATTTAGTACCTTCTCCGTTTTAATTTATTTGTCTTACTTTTTTTTTAAGTATGTTATGTATTTAAAAATTACGAAAATATAGTCTTATAAAATCACAATATATTAACAACTTAAAAAACATATTAAAATTTAGTTGACTCTCGAAATTTCATACGTGCTAACATAAAAATTGGGAGAGTAACATATATTATTTGCTATTTACATTAAAAGTACTATAAAACATAATAATTAACTATTCAAGATATTAAAGTGAGATAAATAAAATAACATATATTGGGTCTGTATTTACAGGACTGGAAACCTAAATAAGCCACAAAAACATAAAAGTGACCAAAATAAGCCACTACTTTAGGAAGTAACTAAAATAGGCTTAGTGGAAGAAAAAATTCCACTTTATCTAATATTCTAAACGTTTTCCGTTAGTCTCATAACGTGTATATTTTAATATATAACGGAATTATTTTCTACACTTTATAAAATGGAACTATTTTTTACACTTTATAAAGTGGAACTTTTTCTTACACTTTATAAAGTGGAAGAAAATCTTACACTTTACAAAGTGGAAGAGAAAATTCCACTTTACAAAGAGAAATATTTTCACGTTTTTATCTCTTTTGCAGTGTTTGTCATACAATTATATTGATTTGACATATCATAAAAACGGAAAAAATTATTACACTATGTATTTTTATTTTTTTATTCTGAAAAATCCTCCAATATTCAATTAATGTCCGATATCATAAATTTCTTTCATCAATTTATAAAAGAATGAGTATAAACAGTACTGTTTATAATTTGATTATAGTCGTAAAATACCCTACTTCATTTTTCTCACAAGGACAAGTAAAATTTGGAGAGTGGATTATCTATAATTACGAATCGTGACCGACTTTTTGAGGGTTCCAGATGACTACATAGATCAAATCAAGTTAACAATACTTGAAATCTATGTTAGGAAGGAGCCTAAGACTAGTCAACAACGTTCTCCTTTATCGGTCAATGTCCATCCACTTTATAAAAAGTGTAATAAAAAGTTCCACTTTATAAAGTGTAAGAAATAGTTCCATTTTATAAAGTGTAGGAAATAGTTCCGTTATATATTAAAATATACACGTTATGAGACTAACGGAAAACGTTTAGAATATTAGATAAAGTGGAATTTTTTCTTCCACTAAGCCTATTTTAGTTACTTCCTAAAGTAGTGGCTTATTTTGGTCACTTTTATGTTTTTGTGGCTTATTTAGGTTCCCAGTCCGTTAATGACCTGTTCATTTATTAGTTCAACTCATTTTAACATCCTTAAATTCAGCTTAACCTGTTCATTTGACCGCCCTAATATATACACTACTTACCTTTTATGGCATATATATCCAAAATAGTGTCCTTTCTTTCATCTATAATGTAAGTTCTCTTTGAGTTTCTACTTCTACTTTTAGTAAGACTACACTTGGCTTGAATTTGTTTGTTTTTCTTGTTGGGCAAGGATAGCTAGGACACTGGAAGAGTGTAAAACTATTCCAAATTTAATAGTGAGGTGGTAAATTTGATGTAAATAAGGGGAAATTAAAGATATTTGAGTAAGATAGGTCAATATAATATCAAGAAAGAATGCGTAACGATAGTAATTAAACACCTCGTTCGATGAATAATTTAATAAACAAAGAAGTAATACGTGCTCCAATTCATAAAATATGGAGGGAGTAACTTTACAAATATGAAATGAAAAAATCTCAATGAATTATTTGATCTCAAGAATCATATTTACACAAATATTTCTCTCTAAACTCTTCTTAACTTGTCATCATAATTTTAAACTCATCAAAGCTAAGAACTCCATCTCCATTGATATCAAATCTCCTTATCATAACCTTGCATTTATCAATGGAGGTTGACTCGCCGAGTCGACTCAACATCATCTTCAAGCTCTTAGGAGTAATGTATCCTTCCATTTCATACATTCCAAATGCTCCCATCAACTCACTCTCTTTATTCCTCTCTTCCTCCATTCCTTCCATTAACTTCGTAAAATCCTCCAACCCTAACAACCCGTCCCCATCAGAATCCGATAGCCTCACAGCCATCTCCGCCTCCTCCATCGTCAGTTCACCTCCTACCGCCTTCATGCATCTCCAAAAAGTTCCACTTTATAAAGTGTAAGAAAAAGTTCCACTTTATAAAGTGTAAGAAATAGTTCCATTTTATAAAGTGTAGAAAATAATTCCGTTATATATTAAAATATACACGTTATGAGACTAACGAAAAACGTTTAAAATATTAGATAAAGTGGAATTTTTTCTTCCACTAAGCCTATTTTAGTTACTTTCTAAAATAATGGCTTATTTTGGTCACTTTTATGTTTTTGTGGCTTATTTAGGTTCCCAGTCCGTATTTACACGGGATATTATACTAGTAATAAAAGAAAATCGAAAAAACATAAAAATTCTCATAGTCCTTGTTATTAAAAATCAACTAAAAACATAAAGTTATTTAGTTTTGCTCAAACACGGCGCTCTCTATCTCCATTCTGATTATGCATTCCGCCGAAAGACTAGATTCCGGCCACCTCCCGCCGCCACCTCCGCCACCGCCGCCGTCACCCGGACGGAATATTCCTTTCATCGGAAAACTCAAACCCTTTTATCTTCTATCAATCTTGGTACTCCTATCAGCAATTTCATTCAGTATTAGCAAAACAGATCAGTTCAAGAAATTCTTTTTTCTCAGATCAAATTTGCTGAATCCAACAGTTCAGAAACAAATTTCAAGAAATCCCATTTACACAGCCCCTTATTGTGTTCTATGGATGGCTCCATTTCTTTCAGGAGGTGGGTACAGCTCAGAAGCTTGGTCATACATTTTAGCTTTACATGATTACTCAATGAATAAAAATCCAATCTTTAATTTGAAAATTGAGCAACATGGGGATCTTGAAAATCTTGAATTTTGGGAGGGTTTACCTTTAGATATGAGAAATTTGGCTATTGAGCTTTACCATAGAGAATGTAAGTTGAATGAGACTGTTGTTGTTTGTCATAGTGAACCTGGTGCTTGGTATCCTCCACTTTTTGATACACTTCCATGTCCACCTATTGGTTATGGTCATTTTAAGGCTGTAGTTGGAAGGACCATGTTTGAGACTGATAGAGTTAATGATGAACATGTAAAAAGGTGTAATCTTTTGGATTTTGTTTGGGTTCCTACTGATTTTCATGTGAAAACCTTTACTGAAAGTGGGGTTGATCCATTGAAAATTGTCAAGATTGTTCAGCCTGTTGATCTTGATTTTTTTGATCCAGTTAAGTATGAGGCATTGGATTTAGGGTCACTAGGGAATTCAGTGATGGGGTCATTTTCAAATGGAGAAAAGTTTGTATTCTTGAGTATTTTCAAGTGGGAATATAGGAAAGGGTGGGATAGTTTGTTGAGGTCTTACTTGAAGGAGTTTTCGGGAGGTGATGATGTGGTTTTGTATCTGTTAACGAATCCGTATCATTCTGATAGGGATTTTGGTAACAAGATTGTTGAATATGTGGAGAAATTGGATTTGGAAGAACCGAAAGATGGTTGGGCTAGAGTATATGTAATCGACGAACACATAGCTCAGGTTGATATGCCTAGGCTATACAAGGCTGCTAATGCATTTGTTTTGCCATCTAGAGGTGAAGGTTGGGGTAGGCCTATTGTGGAGGCAATGGCAATGACTTTGCCAGTGATTGCTACAAATTGGTCAGGACCAACTGAATTCATGACAGAAGATAATAGCTACCCATTGCCTGTCGATAGCATGAGTGAAGTCACAGAAGGTCCATTTAAGGGACATTTATGGGCTGAACCTTCGGTTAATAAGCTGCAAATGCTAATGAGGCATGTAATGGGAAATCATGAGGAAGCCAAGGCTAGAGGTAAGCAGGCAAGGGATGATATGATGAGTAGGTTTTCTCCTAAGGTTGTTGCTGGCATAGTTAGTGATCATATTGAACACATTATTGATCATACACAATGATAGTTATGTTCTCTTTAGGATCGAGAAGAGTGGATTGTACATTTTACTGCAGTAGTAACAGTTTTTTAGTCACTGTTTCTTCAAGGATTATTAACTCTGGTAGACTTTATCCCAGTTTTCCTATGCGTAAGTTGAAGAACGATTTTACTTGATAGATGGAGACGACAAAGTTCTGGAAGCGGATGAATCTGAATTTGGAGTGAAAAGAGGTTGTAATAGGGGACAATGCATCGGAAGGTATCCTGAGAATCAATTAACTGGATAGACTTATCAACACTCTTATGTGTTCTTAAATGGAGTTGCAGTAAAGTACATACATTTCTCTGCTAAAACAGAACTGTGTTGGTAATCCAGTTATGTTCTTGTGATGAATATCAACAACAAATGTCTATTTTAAAGCTTAGAGTTATATCAATTGTTATGATGTGTATTGTTGGTTTGGACTTTCGAGTAGTATTAGAGGAAAGATATGTCTCCGATGGACCGCGAGTATCAACTACGGAATGAGGTAACAGCATTAAAGGGCAAACTTAATCACATCCAACACTGATGGACCACAAGTAGCAACTATTGAAGGAGGTAAGCTATGAAACCTCAACACTGTCCAGTTTGCTTCATTCACTAAACCAGCAATTTTTTGCCCGTTTAGTTTATTATATAAGTCAGTACAATGAGTTTGAACAGATAATGAGCTGCCAATGTCAAAGCAAGTTGAGTTGATGATACAAATTTACTTGTTATTTTCAAGCCAGTTAAGAATGTCTTGCTTTGATATAGAGAGACATACTCTTTCTTTTGTTTCAAAGTTCCTTCTAGCTGTGATGATTTTATCTTAGATATCCTTGCATTCTTGTCGAGGGTCTATTGGAGACAACCTCTCTATCTCCCAAGGTAGGGGTAAGGTCTGCGTACACTCTACCCTCTCTAGACACTACTTGTGGGATTATACTGGGTATGTTGTTTGTTGTATATGTTTGCATTTCTATGCATTTTCACAGCAATTTCCCAAAGAGGAGATATAGTTTGTGTCATCACAATAATTGAATAAAAGTCAAATGCATTTTCAACAAATAAACTCTTTTATTTATGAAACATTAGGAACAGCATAATGGAACACCATACCCTACCCCACCCCACCCCAAGAAAAAGGAAAAAAATGCACAAATAAAATCCCATAACTAGTTCCTGAATCTTGTTGTTTTGTATCCACAAGCATCTTGTTTCATAGCTGCTCTAATTAGAAGATTTCACCACTTCAACTTGGCTGGGAAATACTGCAATCAAAATGTTTGACGTTAGTTCAGTAAAGCAGAACGAAAAGATTGTATGGAATGGTGAGGTTTCATATAGCTGATTCCAACTTACTTCGGATTGAGGAGTTATAGTATAAAAGTATTTGCTCTTTACTCAACTAAAGGCAAATGAAAATTTACCTTCTCAATGAGGGACATGTAGTAAGGTTTCACTTTCTCCACATCAATCCTAACATTGCTCTTGCTATACAGATCATATTTGCTGTCAATATACACAATTATTCAGTCAAACCATATTCTCAACAGTTAATTCTGAAAAGGTCATCAAGAGAAGCAAGTAAAAGGGCAGCTCGGTGTACTAAGCAAAGAGCCGCAATCCTAAAGAGTGTGATGTAGGCAGTCTACACGTAAACAACTTTACCGTTGCTACAAGACTCCCTTCAAACCAAGAAGCAAGCAGAAATACAAATTATGTAATTGAAAAAAAAAAAACTTACCTGAAGATTTGAAGCCATTTCAGGTTTTCATGATCCTCCTCATTCATCAAGTGAGTATATGCCCCTGACTTATGCAAAGCTACATAACAACAGTTCAAGATTAGCAATAAAGTTTAACCATTATATCCGTCAAGTCGTAGGGGTAAGGTTTGCATACATCATTACACTAGGTACGTTGTTGAAAACAAAAACAAAAACGAGTTAATTATATATTGCTTACGATAAAAAGAATGATATCGGATGATGAACAATGCAGCAGATGGAAGAGTAGTTTTATTTGCCTTAGCCACCTGCATAATTACACACACATTATGATAAATCAGATATAACTCTCCATTTATTTTGATCAAATTTGAAAGTTTTTTAATTCTGAATATGAAGAAAAAGTGCATACCAAGTACATATAGTCATCATGGCCCCAAGACATCACCACATTATTAAGCCCACATCCTTCAGAATAAACTCCATATTTTGTGTTGTAAGTTGGATTGTTATTATCAGGGTTTCCCTTCAATTGCTGCATAATAGACAATTTGAGTAATAAGAAGAATGAAACTTCATAACAACATCAACGAACCCACTGTAATCCCATGAGTAGGGTCTGAGGAAAGTGGTTTGTACACAGCCTTACCACTACCTTGTACAAAATAGAGAGGTTATTTCTAAGAGATCCTCGGGTCTAGTAAGGAAAAAAGCAAAACTCAAGAAGAAGAAAAACACCTCATGAAGCACAATTGATTCATCAAAAGCACAACCAAGGGGGAATGTGTCACCTGTAAAATATATCAAAACGGCCTTTAATTTTGTCTATCTTAAATACGCCACACAAAAAGTTGGAATGAAAGAGTTCCCGAAACGAAAATCTTACCAACAACAGCCCACTGAGGAAGCCCTCCAAAGCTAGGAAGCAAAAGAACTTTGCCAAGATCTACAACATTTTGGACAAAATATTAATCCTTTTAAACCCATATAAATTTTTAATAAAATTGATATTCTTTTCTTCTAACAAACCATGAATTAGTCCAGTTAAGTGTAACCAATCTTCATTAGGATAATCCTTTCTAATAGCTTCAGCAGTTTGCAACAAATGCTCAATTTGTGGTTCATCCAAATCAGGATCACTATCATCCACAACTTCATTCAAAAGTTCACAACATTCCCATATACTCATCTCCACTTTATTCACCTTCCCATATTCTTCTCTCATCTTTTTCACCTGTTTAAAATATACATGCATTAAAATCAAATATGCAGACTTTCTAGCAAACAAATGTCATAGACATAAATAAAATCTACCAAGTTGGAAAGATACGATCAAGGATATGAAGATTTTACTCCTAGCAACTTATTTCAGCACGATTTCCAATGTACCAATAAAATGTTTCTAATTCCAAGATTGTTTTGGTTTATTTGTTTGGAATCTTACAAAATCATATGTTTGGTTAATGTGACTCTGGTGATAGAGTTCACGCACTATCTTTTGGCGTTCAGTCTCTGCACTATAATCCCTGCATTGATCATTAATTAATGTTAGAATAAGTTGTATATATACCTTATATTAAATTTTGTATAATTTCTTGATTGTGAAAATAATGTTATAATTAATTACCTGAATGAGTTGCCAAATGCATTATTGCCAGGGACAACAAATACACCATCAGAATTTTCCTTTTTGCTGTCCACTTCTACTCCTAACAATATCAAGAACAGAAATATCAAATCTTTATTTCACAAATAATCATCTAACTATCAATTTATCGCAAAAAAAGTCACAAAACTATTTTTGTAAACAGAAAAATAACTCAACAATACATATATATATATCACGAATCATAAAAAAATGTTGGAAATTGCTAAATTCTATTCACAAAACCGGGGTGGATGTACAATTTTATCGTATTTATTAAATACCTTATTGAAAATCTATTTAATATGTACCAATTATAAACTTTAGAACCTAATAATATTAAAGGGATAGAATAATGAAATTCATAAAACTCAAATTTTGATATGTTTAGTGACATATCAAAGAGAATTAACACTTTTTCAAATACAAGTAGTAACAAATTCTTAATCAAAAATTTCAAGTTAGAACATCAAAGCAGAAAGATAACGACTAGATAAATAATTTAAGAAGTCAAGTAACATTGATAACACTTTTTCAAATAAGTAATGAATTTTTAATCAAAAATCTCAAGTTCAAGCATCAAATCAAATAGACAACGACTGAATATATAATTTAAGAAGTCAAATAAGACATAAAAAAACAGAAAAAAAATATATATACCATGAACAGTTTGGGCAACGAGGAAAGTCATGTTTGACTTTGAATTGAGAAAAAAAGCACAAAAAAAACCAAGAGAATAAAATATGAGAATTTGCTGGTTTAAAATTTTTTGAGAATTAAAATGGTTTTTATAGTGAAACAAGAAATCCTTTTTAGGTAATAAAATTAGTAAAAATAAAGGTGACTCATCTTTGTGTGGATAATTTTTTTAAAAAAGATAATACATAATGAGTCATGCTAATGTAAGTTTCTTTTTTTAACTGTTGGAAGTAAATCTTTAAATCCTTAAATTAATAGAAATGAAATAAATGTGGAAGGTTGTGTATTTAATTTGGTGATTCACCCTTATGTTGCCTACTAAAAATTTGGTTAAGGTTTATTGTATTATATTTATCTTAATTAACTTTTGAAATTAATGTTGATTATTCTATCTTATCTGTAAAAAAAATTGTTTCTAAATTTTCTATTAGAATAATATAAATAGATATTAAAATTTCTATTGTAAGTTGAACAATAGTGTGCATTTATTGGAATAGTGTAAATGTAAACATTTTTTCTATAACAAAATCAATTAGGATAACTATTCCTAATTATAATATTCATGTCTATCCTTTAAAGTGCATCTATTCTACATTTATTACATTAAAACTTACCAAAATCTCCATTTTAGACTGATATTTAATTTCTTCAACTATCCAGAAGTATGTGACTAAAAGGGAAATAGCTGAGATTCTAACATATTTTTTTGGGGATTCTTATGGAAAAAAAATTAACCAAATGGAAATAGCTGAAAATCATTTTTCTCCTTGGGATAATACATATATTTGACCTTAAACTTGGCTTCAAATTTTAACTTTGACCTCCAACTTTCATAGTGCACAAATAGACACTTAAACTTGTATAAAGTAGAACAAGTAAACACACGAGTCCTACATGGCACAATACACGTAGGACACCACGTAGGACAAAAAATGCCATGTAGGTCATGTGTGTCTATTTGTTCAACTTTATACAAGTTTAAGTGTCTATTTGTGCACTATGAAAGTTGGAGGTCAAAGTTAAAATTTGAAGCCAAGTTTAAGGTCAAATATATGTATTATCCCAAAATAAAACTTCACAAATTTAAAGTATGGACATTTCTCCCTTCTTAGACACAAATCACAATGCATTACGTAAATTGGTAAATAAGTGAAGTTTAATTCTCATCATTCCTTTTTTCCTGTGTAATAAAATTTCTTTTTTCTATAAAAAATAAAGAGAAAACGAGGTTACAGCATAATCAATAATTGTACAGAGTAGAACAAAGTTTACATATTTATTTCACCAAAACCAGCTATGCTGAAAAACCATATTGAACCTCCTGCCATTATTTTGGCAAATAAAACCTGTTAAGATGTAACGGAAATTTAGAAACACGAAAATACAGTTTACAAAACAACTACTATGTCTCAGTCCCAAACAAGTTCGGGTCTGCTATATGAATCCTCCAAAAGTCGTGCAACAGCAAATTACTGCCCACACAAGAACGTTTTTGCAAAAACTGCTTCTATTAATGGGATAGAAGTACTCATAGGTCCTGCCTGACAGCCTGAGTGGTTGAAGCTTTGATGATGAAGACAGAATGATGACTTAAATACAAATTTGCTAACAGAATGGCAGCGGAACAGTGAATATCTAATAAAGGAAGGTTTAAGATAAACGGACCTCTTGAACTTCGTACTTCAGAAATGACCAATTTCACTACTGGAAATGTTGCGAGAAAACAGATAGAACTTCCCTGTAAACGGGCTTCTTGAAATCCACTGCCTGTTGACAAGATTTTTGGATAAAAGTCAAAATAATAGGAGTTAAAGCCGTAAGTCGTTTTAGGACAAACTTCAAAGGTCTAAATGGTTCACTCACAAGTTCAATAACTTGCTCAGGTGATATCCATGACCATTCTCCAAACTCGGCCTTCTCTGTCCCATCCCCAAGAAGGTTGATTTCTTCATCCTTTCCAGTGAACTTAAATAAGAACCTAGAATTTTTCCATGTATATCAGTACCATTCTGAATTAGGAAACAGTGAGACGAAAAAGAGAAAAACAATCGGACGCTCAAATAAGCAGTGAATAAGCAGTGGAACTTTATAGCACGATGTCCAAGAATCCCCCTGTGCGCCAAAACCAATTTGTAAAGCAATCACTCTCCCACAGATTGTTTATCGAGGAATGCAAAATATAGAGTTTCAAGTATATTTTGCTGATTTAGAAGCACCTACCACTTTTGTGCTTGACCTTTCCAGTCAGATCCCCATTGATGCCTTAGCTTTTCTCTAACGTCTGGAGGGAAATCATACGTTACCCAATGTGGAACCTACATTAGATTCAGAACATCAATAACCAGCCTACCACTACTCAAAACAGGAGATCACATCTAATTCGGAAAAAGGATCTGGTAGGCTCGGGTTTCTTTAACTTTGGGAAACCAACTTTAAACTGTGGGAACTCTCATCACAACCCAACAAGCCAAGTATTAAATAACCACAGCCATTTTGTGAGCTGATTAAACCTCTTTCTTCCTGGCCTGCCTTGAATGGAAGGACCAAAGAAATAAAACTCGACAAAATCAAGATTATAGCAGGATCTACTTTTCATACCTCAGCAACAATTTCTGCTGAAGTAACCCCAGTTTCCTCTCTTAATTCCCTGATGGCAGCATTTGTTGGATCTTCATTGTCATCAACTCCACCCTGATTCAAAAAACCCAGATATGTTATTCTTTATTTTATAGCAGAGACCAAGATTTTGAAAAAGTTACACAGTTCTTCTAACTTTTTCTTTTATTTTAAATTTTACAGAAAAAGAAACACCAAACTTTGAATCTGAGAAAAACTAACGTCTTCAGAGAACATGCAAATATTGTCAAATGAAAGGAAGTGCATATGAAGGTTTCTAGGAATGTCAAATCAGAACTGAACCTTGAGATCTTTAACAACAACAACATATCCAATGTAATCCCACAAGTAGGGTCTTGGGAGGGTAGAGTTTATGCAGACCTTACCCTTACCTCATAGAGATAGAGGGGCTATATCTAATAGATCCTCGGCTTAAAATAAAGCATTTCCGGGTGGTTTGAAAAGGAGAATATGGAAATGAGAGCAGTAACAACAAAATGTGAAATGGGAGCAGGTCACAACATACAACGGAAAGAACAATAATGCAAACAAAATCATATGCTAACCACAGCACAAAAAACACATACGATAATCGAAATCGAAAAACAAGAAACTACAAGAATAGTGCTAATACCACCGGTAAGAAAGAAGGCCCAAGTACAACCACCAATCTTATCCCGCAGGAAAGCAAACGAATGCTCAACTACCAACTAGCCTTCTATCCTATTCTGCTACCTCCAAACCCTCATATCTAAGGTCATGTTCTTGGTAAGCTCAAGATGTGCCAGGTCCTGTCTAATCACCTTCCCCAATACTTCTTTCGATCTACCTCTACCTGTCCTAATGTCCGTCATCACCAGATGTCAACCTCTCACATCTCCTCACTGGAGCATCTACAATTCTCCTCTTCATATGACCAAATCATCCCAGTCTCGCTTCTCTCATTTTATCTACCACGGAGGCCACTCCTACCTTATCCCAAATATCTTCATTCCTAATCTTATCTCTCCTAGTATACCCACACATCCACCTCAACATTCTCATTTCCACAACTTTCATCTTTTGAACATGTGTCTTGATTGGCCCCCAAGGCCTAGCTCAAGTGGCAAAAGGTGGAGGATTTGTGGCTTAGGTCGCAGGTTCAAGCCCCACACCATGCAAAGCGA